TTTTTTTCGTTTAAAAACCACATTTTTATTTAAATACAAGGTGTTTTTTTTTGTTTTTTGTTTTTTTTTTGTTTTTTTTTACATTCAAAGCATAATGTATAAATATGCATTAGTTATATCATAAGAATCAAACTAACCATAAGCTTCTAATAAGATGTAATAATTTCAGGGGTTGCAAATTTGACATCCGAGTTTTGATCGACTATACGCCTCCAAACCTCCAAACTCATTTTAAAGTTGTGTATTTAATATAAAATACGGTTTTTATATAACTAATATATATTTATACTTAAAATTATGGTTTGAATGTAAAAATAAAACCTTGTATTTATATAAAACTATGGTTTTTAATTGAAAAAAATGTATTTATACGGTTTAAATGAATTAAAAAAAATATTTATACGGTTTCAAATAGAAAATTGTCAACACTGAACAAAATTGAAAAAAATAATGTTCGATTTGGAACAAAAAAACATAGTGTCAAAATTGAAAGAAAAAAAATTAAACTTAGTGTTAAAATCGAAAAAAAGTGAAAACTTAATGTTTTTTGTGGAAAAAAGTTTCAATTTTGACACGTCAACATATCATGTCAGCATGCCACGTCATCAAAACTGACACGTCATCATGCCACGTCAGCATGCAACCTGGTTGACCGGTCAAGTGGTCAGAATTATAACAAATTGGAAAACACGGTGTCAAATTTGAGACAAAAAATAACACAGTGTCAAATTATAATTTTGTTGTAAACTGAGTGTTTTTTGTGTGCTATTTACCCAAAAAAACCATAGATATGTTCATCAAGAATACAAACTCAAGACTAAGAAACCTTAAATCGAAATCAGATCGTTTCCAAATTTGAAACCCTAAATCGAAATCAAAGTTTTTAGAGTTATAAATGGTTTTTTTGAACCATGGCAGATCCGTTTATCAAGAACACAAACTTAAGAACTCCATATTTTAGTTCGAGTTCTAAGGTTTGTTCAACTGATGAAAATATCCAAAAACTATGAACATGAAGTCAAGGGTTTGTATCTAAGTGTGTTCACGATTATGGGTTTAAGATCTTTGGAAAACATATCAAAATCGATTTCTAGAAAAGATGATCTGAGTATTGTCGGAAAAATTATGTTGGCCGAAGAAGACAATTGAAAACTCGCCAGCGTTGCCAAGGATTCCGGAAACCGGATAAAAGTATACCGACCGGTCATAGTGGTTTTGAACAAACTAAACAAGTAAAATGATCATAATTTTACAAGAAAAAAAAACATAAAAAACTAAATACATACATTAGCTAAAGTATATTCCCATAGGTCATTAATCCTCATAATTACATCAAGACCAACCTCATATGCATGTATATATGTATGTATTTATACAAACCAATGCAATGGCCAATGGGTGTTGTAATTTGTTATGATAATTTGGAACCTTGTAGTTGTAGAAAGTTCAACTTCAAACCAGTGGACCTATATTGAAAATATATTTTAGCATAATGAGAACGGCTGAAAACGCAAAAATCATACAGGACCAAACATAAAATAAACCAATTTTCCTTTTTCCCCATCGTTAACGGCGTCATATTCACGTTTCGGATTTCATTGTCAAATCACGGAGGAGCTGCAATCGATTCACAACTGCGAGGGATAATTAATTTACAGCTCCGATTAGCGGACGCTCGAACTTGACGGCGGCGAAGAAGCTTTAGCAACACAGGGGGAGACAAAGATGGTGAACATGACGACTTTTTTCGGGATGTCATTGGGCGCTTTTGTGTTCTGGCAATCAATGGATAAAGTTCATGTTTGGATTGCTCTTCACCAGGACGAGAAGGTCTGAATCTTTCTTCTTCTCTCTTTATGTATATCTAGATGTGACCGATATGCTTCGATTATGCTCGTACTTTGTCGTTTTACTCTTGATATACCTAAATATTCTGAATTAGGGTTCGTTTTATCTGTCGAAATTGAATGCAGCGATTAGGAAAACAATTACTGCTTTGAGGTAGATGTATGATTAATTGAGTGTTAACCATGTCATAAGAAATGCAATGTTGATGTTTTGAATAAGAATTGATATTAGCCTATTAGGCATAGTTTATTCAATCTTAACTGTATACATCTTTTAAATTTCGGTTTCAATTTACATTTTACCCTCTGTTTTGACTTCCTAAACTCGAACTGCATTCTCACTGACAATAGGGTAATGAAGTTGAAACTTTTCCCTCTTTCTTATAAGATGTATATATAGCTGTTTTTCTTGTGCCTTGGGTATATTATTTGCAGTAATATGACACATATTGTGTACATTGAAAGTTAACATTACTTGTAACACATATTTTAATGGCTTAAAAGTTTACTTCTTTGGGTGGAATCTATCTTTAAACTTACATCCAGTTTTATAACCATAGCACAAGTTAATTTGATAGGGAAGGGGCCTTGTGAATTTAGCACTGAATATGGATTGTTTGTAACAATTGCAGCAAGAAAGAATGGAGAAGGAAGCAGAGATCAAGAGGGTGAGAGAACAGCTGCTACAGGAAAACAAAGAAAGAGACCCTATTGCATAACTAATTCTTGGTGATTCATCTTGGGACATTGAATGCATTTCCCCTGAATTTGTTCTTGTATTTTCTGGGTTCTTAAGATACAGATGATTGTTGTTACATAATGTTTTGTCTTGATTAATAACGAATGAATGTCATTACAATTGGTTTGTTATTTGGTGCTGTTGAATCCCAACTCCCAAAAGGATCCTCAAGTTTTTTATTGATTCTGTGGATATATCTGCAATTCATCATTTTATATATATCCAGCTGTTTGTTACTTTAAAACAAGGTATGTTTTTTTACAACATAGATGAGTTTGTTAGAGAAATGGTAATGATCAACCGCAGCAATCACATATTTAAGGTTGGATAAAAGTGACCATTAACCCGGATTAACAAATAAAAAGGTTGTCATTAATTTATTTTATTCCCCTCATGTCACATCTCTCTTTTCCGTCGATCTAAAGTTGAAGAAACGGTAAATTAAGAGTCTTAATCTACAAAGTTTTCTACGGACCAAGCCCATGATTCTAATTGTTTTTCCAATAAGTAGATATATCTCTTTGTTCATTGCCTTGTATCCATGGGTCTTGCATAATTTGTTATTCATTTCTGTGAGTTTCAAATGGTTTACTTGCCATCATGTATGTGTGTGTAACTTACTTTTGTTGAGAAATAAAAGTTCTTTCTCTCAGTCAAGCCACCTCAATTCCAGGGAAATTACCCAAATCATTCTATAATATCATATACATATACATATAAAATTAAAACAATAACTTCCCCTAAACTCGAATGCTTGATATAAAGAGTATGATCTCGTTTACTTTGCTTGTAGCCATTTGCTATCACCACTTTCCATTAAGGGTGATTACCCTTTCAAAAATCCACTCGACCTTATTAAAAAATTGTGTCAAATTATGACAAGGTGTTAGAAGTAAAGATTGGTAATATCTCAGTTCTATATTAACCCGCCGATCCAAGTATCCAACTCAATAATTAAAGGGTTGGGTTGAGACTTGAGATTTTCGATCCATTTCATTAAAGGGTTCAAGTCTCGTAGCTTATTTAATTAAATGGTTTGGATTATGTTGAGATTTCCAACATGATTTTTAAACTTAACCCGTCAACCCAATCCAATAATTAGCGGGTTGTGTTGAGATTTTCAATCTGTTTTATTAAACGGTTCAAGACTCTCGGTCTTTTTAATTAAATGTGTTTGGTTAGGTTGAAATTCCCAACCTAGTTTCTAAACTTAACCCACCAACCCAACCCAATAATTAGCGGGTTGGATTGAGATTTTCAAGCCATTTTATTAAGACGATTCAAGCCTCTCAATTTGTTTAACTAGATGTGCTTGGTTAGGTTGAAATTTCCAATCTGATTTCTTTGCTAACCCGTTTAAGAATTATATATATTATTATTAATAATGTTCAATAATTAATATTATAATTATTTTTTCTTATTTTTTTTGCTAAATTGAACGATGATTGCAATTTATATATATATATATATATATATATATATATATATATATATATATATATATATATATATTAAATTTTATTTGAACATTATTGGAGTATGTAACATAGTTAATTATGTTAAAGTTTTTTAGTTAAATGGATCAACCCGTTTATCAAAATTCAAACTTATTGTATTGGAAAAAATAAAATAAAAATGTAAACCCAATTTCAATTATCCAATAAATAAGGTGGATATGATCGAGAATTGCCAACTTGTTATTTGAACGTGTTGGGTTAGGTTGGGATTTTTTACCCAAATTGACAAATTGCACCCTAAGTTTCTATATGATTCAAGTGAAGTCATGTACTATATAATATAAGTATATTCTGACGTGCGTCTTGGTAAGGCATATAGAAGATGTGAGTAACCTATTGACTTATGTTCAATTCTTTACACTATTTAATCCATGTGGTTATGGAAGTTTCAGCCACTTCAGTCTTTGGGGTATGAGGCGTAACCTGATGTTTGCAAAGAAGATAATTAGTCGGTGTAAGAAAGTTGGTTCGGAAACCCTTTTTAAGAAAGTTCATTTCCAAAAAGAAAAAAAAAACTTTCGTGCCATTTATTTTTTACTATGTCGATATGTTGCATTATTTTTTACTATGTTGCATATGGTGATAACATTGTTTGTAACTCGTATTTATCATGTTCTTGCACTTAATTTACAGTCACAAGCATTGGTTTACTCTTCTTGATCCTTATCGAAGAGTTGCCTAACTGAAAGCTATCATGAGCACACAATATGAACTCACGTAACCAGTCATTACATCTACTGATATAGAAAATGTCTGCTGCTTTTCCTAGTAAGAACAAAAAATCCTGCTAAAAATAGAATCCGCTTTATCCTTTTCAATAACAAACCCCTCATGCATGATACTATATATATATGAAGTTTACAATTCATTTCCTACATGAAATATATATTACAAGATATGGAAATGAGGAAGGTTTTCTTGATATTTCTTTCTTTTGCTGTGTTTATGGTAGCGGCGAATTGCATTGATTTCACTGAAGGGGACTTGACCACAGACGAGAGCCTGTGGGACTTATACGAAAGATGGAGGAGCCACCACACTGTGTCACGTGACCTCGGCGAAAAAAGGAAACGATTCAACGTCTTCAAATACAACGTCCAATACATTCACAAAGTCAACCAGATGGACAAACCTTACAAACTAAAGCTCAACAAATTCGCCGACATGACCAACCACGAGTTCAAAACCGGTTTCGATTCAAAGATCCAACACTTCCGAGCACTCAAAGGCGAAAGGCGCACCACCCCATTCCGCCATGAGAAAACCACCGACCCACCACCGTCGATTGACTGGCGGCAATACGGGGCAGTCAACCCTGTCAAGAACCAAGGCCGGTGTGGTAGCTGCTGGGCGTTTTCGACAATTGTCGGGGTGGAGGGTATTAACAAAATCAAGACGAATACTCTGGTTTCTTTATCTGAGCAAGAACTTGTCGATTGTAATTCTGATAACCATGGATGCGAAGGAGGGTTCATGGAAGACGCATACGAGTACATCAAGGAAACCGGCGGGGTTACAACCGAGCAAATCTATCCTTACTTTGCACGTAACGGGCTTTGTGATATATCAAAGGTACAAACAAATTTCAAAAATTTATAAACAAGTGGAAATAATGAAATGGATATAACGTTTGATCATCAAATCATGCAGAGAAACTCGCCTGTGGTAAAAATCGATGGTTTTGAAAACGTACCAAAGAACGACGAGACGGCGTTGTTGAAAGCTGTAGCGAACCAGCCGGTGTCGATTGCTATTGACGCGGGTGGTCTTAATTTCCAATTCTATTCCGAGGTAAGAACTTCTATTTCTAATTCCATTCTGAGGTAAGATTGTTGATTGTTGATGGGTGATGGTGTGTTTTGTAGGGGGTTTTTAATGGAATCTGTGGCACGGAGTTGAATCATGGTGTGGCGATTGTGGGGTATGGAACGACTCAAGAAGGGACGAATTACTGGATTGTGAGGAATTCATGGGGAAGTGGGTGGGGTGAGCAAGGTTACATTAGGATGCTGCGAGGGTTTAGTGAACCCGAGGGGTTGTGTGGGTTAGCCATGGAATGCTCGTATCCTATCAAGGTGTCATCGGATAATCCAAAAAGTGTGTCTAAAGATGAGCTCTAGAACCATAACCTATGAAGTATGAAGTATGAACCATCTTCATATACTTAGCCCAGTCTTGTTTCTCGGATTGTACTGTTTTTTCTTTGTGAGAATAAGAAAGCACGAATAAAAATTTGAAGGTTAATTTTATGCTTGCCCCTAATTATTCTCTATATCTTTTATGGGAGTGGGTGAGTGTGATATCTTTTATGTGAGTGGGTGAGTGTGTCAACCATATGATTTGATGTTTTATATGAACGAGAGAATACATATTATAACACCCAATATTATAACACCCAATTTGAATTGTAGTTTTCGAGGCTACTTTTCGGATCCCACTAAAATCGTTGTGCAACTTATGGTAAAAAAAATAGAAAATCTTTAAAAAAGTCCAAAAATTTTATCATAATTTACGAAAAAATTTCAAACTAAAATTTGTTTAAAAAAAACATGAATTACCGGTAAAAATAGTGATTTGACCACTTTTTCCCGGTTTAACGGTTTCATTACTTACCTGTTTCATTAAAATCTTATTATTTTACCATAATTTACGAATAAGTTCAAAACTAAAATTAGTGATGATTTTGCCATTTTCTCCGTGTAACATACATTTTATCGGTTTCATTGCTGATTTGGACATCTAGACATTAAATTAGCTGATACGATGGATATGATGGGTTATATAATTCTATATTTACTCTAAAATTTAATATTTATCTCATCGTCTCATTTATGACTATGTATCTAGGTCCGCAATGAAACCAATAAAATGTATGTTTCCAGGAAAAAAAACAGGAAATGAGTTGATGTTTGATGAGATGGATATATTAGGTTACATAAGTTTAGGTAGGCAATTTGAAATTTCGTATAAACGTAAAAATGACGAAGTTGTTGCTAGTTTATATAATTATTGCATTCTTCGTTGGATGCATTTTATATTCCAAAAAATATACAATGCATCGGGATATTAAGTTTTATGCTAAACATATCATTATATAACCCAACATATCAATCTCAACAACTTATTTAATGACTATGCGTCCAAGTCAGCAATGAAACCCGTAAAATGTATGTTACAGGGAGAAAATGGCCAATCATCACTAAAATTTAGTTTGAAATTTATTCGTAAACTATGGTAAAATAATGAGACTTTAATGAAACCAGATAAGTAATGAAACCGGTAAACCATGAAAAAATGGTCAAATCACCATTTTTACCGGTAATTCATGTTTTTTCGTAAACAAATTTTAGTTTGAGATTTTTTCATAAATTAGGGTAATATTTTAGGATTTTTTCGAAGATTTCCCGTAAAAATACTATACTTGTTTGATTGATTTAGAATATCAGAACTAATGTTCAAACCATAATAGGATCTAGTTTTATAGAAAACGAGTATTAAGGCTAACCGGAACAAATTGATTCCAGAACGTATTCATAATTCTAATCAGGAGAGTATATATACATTTATCAAATAAAGAGATAAGGTAGAGTTCTTCCACGAAACTAGGAACTAATAAGATAAACATAACAAGATAAACAAGTATATAAAAACAGTTTTCTTCCCTCCCCCTCAAGATGGAACGTGAAGATCACGAACGCCCATCTTGCTCATCAGGAATCGTAAACGGTCAGTCCCAAGAGGTTTAGTAAAAAGATCAGCAAGTTGATCTTTGGTGTGGATGGCAGCAGGAAAAAATTCTCCTGCCTCAACTCTCTCCCGGACGAAGTAACATTCCATCTCAACGTGTTTGGTTCGTTCACGGAAGACCGGATTGTTGGCAATGTGACGAGTAGCTTGATTATCGCAATGAAGACGGGTTGCACCTGTTTGAGGAGCTTTAAGATCCTGTAGTAACCAACGAAGCCATAAAATCTCACTAACAGTAGTAGCCATGGACCGGTACTCTGCTTCGGCGGAAGAACGTGATACCACAGACTACTTCTCGGTTTTCCAAGAAATGGGTGCACCTCCAAGAGTAATGAAATAACCGGTCTTCGAGCGTCGCGTGAAAGGAAAACCAAGCCAATCGGAGTCGGAATACGCATCCAACGTCAAATTCCCATTAGTGGGAAAGAAAATACCTTGACCAGGTGTAGTCTTGAGATACCGCAACACACGGAGAGCAGCATTCCAATGTGTTTCACGAGGAGCTGAAACAAATTGGCTAAGCGTGTTGACTGCAAAGGTAATATCAGGCCGTGTGACTTGCAGATATAAAAGACGACCAATGAGCCTCCTGTACTTTCCAGCATCGGTTAAAGGAGAATCATCTTCAGTAGTCAGACGGATGTTCTGCTCCATAGGGAAAGGACTTGGTCTACAACTGTCACACCCCCGAACCAGACGACGGAAACGTCCGGGGGCTTGTGCGTGACTTCATCTTGAAACATCATTACAGTGAATATAAATGAAACATAACATCATCATCACCATGCATAATATAATACAACTGTCGTTGTTTACATCAAGTACAATCTTTTTAAATTACATGACCAAAACATTTAATGTAAGATGTTTAACAGTACACAAAAACAAAATCTCATATTCTTGTTGATTCTTCTGCTTAACGAGTCCCTGAGAATACAAGTTATTTTGAAAACGTCAACATATATAATGTTGGTGAGTTCATAAGCATGTTTGATTGAAAATTTTTGTAGGGTTCGTAAAACACCAGAAAATCCGATATTTTCTGTAAAGTGGTTTGAAAATAATGTGTCAAATCAAGTATTTATGCATGTGTGTTTGCTGCTTTTGGAATGTATAAATAAACAAAAATGTAATCCAGATAAAAACACTGTATTTTCTGTTGTAAGTAGAAGGTAATGTATAAATGTATTTATCCCAAAAAAATCCGACATTTTCTGCATATAAAAGTATCGTAATCATAAAATCTCATGACCGAGTATCGATGTATGTATGTTTTTAGTATCGTCTAGATTTGTATAAATATACCGAAATCTTTGATGAAGTTAGTCTCTAAGTGAGTCGTTACAACCATGCTTGATAATGACTAATTCGCCTGTCTTGACGTTTTCAGGCGCCGGTTTTGATGTAGGTAAGGTTTGTCGCCCTAGACTGGCCTAGTCTAGCTGTAGCGAACAGCTAAGGCGTGGTGGGTCACCCCGTATAGATCTATACACAAACTCCCGCTCTCCCTCCAGGAAACTCTGGTTATAACTACAGGCCACGATTGTACACTCAAAGGTGCCAACCGACAAGTCTCACTAGATTCTCAACCTTTCATACCATGTTTAATGTTTATGTGTATGTTGTATGTTTTCATATCCAAAAGGTACATATATATAAGTATACGAAGTTCAATAATTATGTAAAGGTATAGTTACGATTTACTAAGCATGTGAATTTCAGTCCAAGCCCAATTAGCATGTAAATGGACCACAAAGGCCCAATAACATGTAAGAGGGTAATTTGGGCCTAATAGGCATGTAAATGGACCACCAAGGCCCAACAAACATGTGACCCATAACTCAGGCCCAAATTAACATGTAAATGGGTCGCAAGGCCCAATAAACATGTCATGGAAAATATTGGGCTCAATATACACTTGAATGGGACCTTAAGGCACTTGAATGGGACCATTGGCCAAGTAATGTGAATATTAGGCCCAATAAAATTGTTATCGATGTATTCCGTCCCTTCGTTATTGTTTCGTTGTTTATTTGGGCTCGAGGTTTTCCAAATTGATTATAAAAAGTCTTCTTTTGTAAAAACGACGTTCTTGGTCAATAAGCTTCAAATTTTCAATTAAGGCCCAAAGTTTTGTAAAAATAACACTTTAGTCCATAATTTATAAAAATTTGTAATTTCATCCCAATGTTTAGAAATTCACGGATTTAGTCCAAAATTTTATATTTTGACATTTATGCCCCAATTTTGCAGAAAATTACTTTTTCAGCCCCTTGTTTTGTAAATTGACACTTTCGGCCCAATTTTGATAAAGTTTCATTTTGGTCCAATTTAGAAATAAATGTTATTTTTCACCCCTATATTTGGTTTATTTACATTTATGACTCAAACTTTGGTCAAATAACATTTTAAATCCCAAAACTTTCATTTTTTTTCGTAAATTTGGGCCCAAAACCGTGAGGCCCAAATATTAGGCCCATTAAGCTAAAATTTACATTTTTGGCCCTTTGGAAAGCATGTTTATCATAAAAATCCATTTTTATACAAGTAGGACCTGTTTGATCCTTATAAAAACATAAATGTCACTTTTAACCTTTATCTTTTGTTTTCTTGACAATTTTGACCCTTAACAAGGTTTTTGCCTTAAATTTTTATATCTTCAACATATAAACACTTTTAACTTGATAATATGATGTATAAGGTGTCTTAGTTCATGGATCTTTACTCAATGTTACTTAAGATGTCGAGATTGGTTACGATCTAACACATATTTACAAAATAAACTAAGAAATCACACAAGACATGCATATAACACATAGATCTACACATTTTACTTGTATTCTCCCCCAAAAATCATGTAAAAACCGAAAACAAGGGGGTATGAACTCACCTTTGCTTTGATGTTTCGGTTTTGAAGAAGAATGGAAGAAGGTGATGTGATCTTTGGCCCTAGCAAGCTTTCCTTGGGTTGATCTTGAGTTCTAAGAAGTTCTAGAGTATGGATCATGAAATAAGATGCTTAGAAGGAATGATCTTATCATTGATGAGAATAAATCTCAGATCGATTAGATCTTTCACAGGTAAATGACGAAGATCAAACAAAACAAACACAATAAATTATGAACACGAACAGGAATCAACGTTATGCTTATGATTCAAATATAGTCACGCCTCAGCAGAGCTTATGAAGAACTTCCACTGTAGAGGCGAGCTAGGGTTTACAAAACTCAATGAGAAAATAATGAAAGCGTTTAACACAAGACTGCATGCATGCAGCTTAAATACTAAACCCTAGAATAAAACATGCACGGTTGGACAGGCCCAATCCGGCAATCAAAACTGGGCTAAGGACCGAGCCCATGACGCAACACTA